AACTTTTACGATGGAGCTCCCTGTGGATAACAAGATCCCTTTCATCAGCATTGAAATCGTCAGGAACGGAACTAAACTTGAAACTCGAGTTTACAGAAAACCAGCCAACACTGGATTGCTCCAGCACTTCCAAAATCACACTGATAAAAGCTATAAAGACTCCTTATCACAGACAATGATGCATCGTGCCTATGCCTTGTCGTCTTCAACAGAGGCTTTCAATGCAGAATGTGCCAAGTTGCGCTCTATATTTAGTCGCCTTGACTATCCGATGAGTCTTATTGATCCTGCTATCAACAAATTTCTTTTTCGAAATACTTCAGCGAACAAAGCAGGAAGAAACAATGACGAATGTAGCATAGTAAGAATTAGTCTTCCACTGATTTAAAGATCAAGTGGCCGCTAATGCGTTCGGAAGCAGTTACTTGATCTTAGCTATAAAATTGGCCCTACTTTAATTTGCAGCCAGTTGACTGTTTAGTATTTGAAACGCTCTTCATCGAGAATCTTAAGCCTAATTTAAATTTGTTTAATATTTTTAATCATCTTTTTCTCACGTTACAGCTTTTAATCAGCTATTGTTTTTTAGGTATTAATAGACTGGAACTCACAAACACATTTTGACTTGATAATGACGTTTAGCTAACGTCGAAACGTCGTCGTCTTTTAGCACTTTTTTAATCTTAAAATGTTTTTAAGAAATGTTTTATCGCCATTTTTTATTGTTAAATGCTTTTCAAAATCACTTGTTCGTAATTTCATTTATATCAAATTTTATTCTGAAGACAGTTGAACCCAGTTAATTAGCCACCCTCAGGGAACTGGCAAATGGCCACTAAATAAGGGCTTTTATTTCTTTTTTTTGTTTGACGCCAATGCAAATTTGCTTGATTAGAAAATTCAAGGGTATTAAGTGCAAAGGTACTTAAGTAAGTAAATGTGGTAGAAAAATGTTGCAAACAAACTGTTTTGCACCTTGTTCACTTGTAGTTGCATTAATAGTACCGTAATTTCCAGCGGTTTACCCGCACGACCGATTACCCGCACCGGCCGATTGTTGATTTCTCAAATTAATCGATACCTCCGGTTCTACTAGGCTTAACAAGTCCCTTAAAATAGGAAAATTCTCTTCAGCTCAAGCTAGTGTTATAACTGGATATTTTTAAATGATGCGCCGGATACCCTTGGATTATTTTTGTCACCATCAAGGTTTTGTTTACACGCATGCCGATAAAAAATTTTTTTGTCGCGCAACTAATTGTGCGTGTAATAAACTCGAGTCGGCATCATATTTTCGTGCCGCTTTGTGGCACTCTTAATACAATAAAATTCATTTGAGAGGTGGATACGCAGGTAGGGGAGAATTATTTTCAATTCAACTACCAGTAGATTTCAAAATTGTCACATAACCCGTACCTCCCTATTACCCGCAGTGGCGCGTGTTTAAGGCAAAATCAACAGATTACCCGCGGGTAAACGGCCGGAAATTACGGTAAATATGTCACTTTTGCACTGAAAGCAAATGCGTAACAAATATGTGTTAAAGCTCAAGGTTTACCTTGGCAGCAAATGCAAAGTAAATGTAAAGCAAGTGTCATATTTACGTCACATTTGCATGCAATTTTGTTAGGAACAAATGCTTTAGTTTAGCTTCAGTTTACCGCTAGTGCAAATTTAGTTCAAATTTAGAGCCCCAAATTTGCACCACATTTGCACACCTTGGCAAACACTAGTAAATCCATTTTTTCGTCCAGTGTTAATTAGGTAGATATTATTGCGAAGACAGTTTGAAAGACTACTAAAGCTATTCCATTAGTTTCGTCTTAGAGATTATGGGCGAGATATTAACTAAATCGGCTTTTTATTTTCCTTCTCGGAGGTTGTTTTGATCAGTCGGCCAAAGTCTGCGTCAAAGGTAAAAATATAATGAGGTTTTGACAAACAGTGTTATCTATGTCATTTACGAGGAAATTAGATCGAAGGAAGAGGTCATTATCGCCCGGGTTTTGACTTGGACCAGATTTGAATAACACTGTAGACGGATTTCTCGGTATTAACCATCAAACAACTCATGTTGTCGGCTTCGTCTTAGCTCTTATCTACCGTCACGCCCACGTGACCTTATAAATTTCGACGAAGGGGTAATCCTTGATTTAGTTTTGACTGTACTTGTAATGATTTTCACCTTTGTTGTTTTCTTCTTGTTCGGTGAACAACCTTAAATCAAGCATACGAGTAAACTGCTGAGGCATCGGACACGATATACAACATTTGATGGAAGGGTTTCCGGGTGACTTCCTTGAATTGTACTTCTTAATTTACAAAATTTATGGGAAAGTCCAGATGTAGTGATGAAGCTCAATTGGTGACGAGATTTCTTCGGTGGTAATGTAGTTTTCTTAGTTTTTCCTGCCTTCTATCATTTGTGTCTCAGGAATAACAGCTGCAAAGTCCAAAGCACTTCTCCCAACCTTTGCAACAGACACTTTTTGTTATTATCTGTGACAGTTTTGTATTGTCTCGCCTCTTCATCTATTGCCATCTCCTAATTGTTATTTGCAATCTCGAACTTTCGATTCGTTAAAATTTACAACAAAAGATACCAGAGGCATATCTTTCTACCGACGATGCCTGAAGCTCCACTGACCAGCTTTCAAGTATAGCTTATTTCGAAACAAGAGACTAATATAAGAGAAATATTTTGAGACTTTGTTTATGAAAACTGAGTTGAAAATATATGGGTACGTATTGAGCCGAGGTTCCAGTGGTAGATCAGTAATTGTCATGAGTAATAGTTTGTTTTGTCAACGGTGTACAACATTTGGCAATTGTTCGTAAAACGGATGACTGAATAGGGACATTTTGAAACAAAGCAAGGACAAATAACACTGAGAAAGACCCGAAGGGCAACCCACACTTTCAGTTATGGTAAAACCTATTTTTTGGTAAAGGAAGTGATTTACGTTTCTCAGTGGTTCTTAAAACATTCCGCTGATCTTCTTTTTGACTTCAGTAACTGAATGTAAAAAACCTGAATGTCCTTATTTAGTCTTGATTACATAATGAAACTGCGATTCGCGAAGATATCGACGACAACACTTTGTATGTGAATAACTAACAAATTTTCTTTTCATTTTAGTATTGCCTGACTTTTTCTGTCAAGGTGGTCACATTAGAATAATCGAATCGACAAGGACGTTCCCGAGCAGTTGATTATCATTCTTGTTGATTCGCTGGTTCACTGTCAGAAGGTAATGTTATATCTTAAATTAAGAACTTTGCTGTAGCTTTTCTGTCATTTATTTATCTTATAAAACAAGAGTAAGCCTACTTGAGTGCAAACTTCGCACGCGAACGACAAGTATTTTCTCGACCTTGGGAACAACTCTTGACTTATCAAATTTAAAAAGTTACTGATAGTTATAATGTAGAACAAATTTGTTAGCTTTCCATGGCCAGTGACACAACCTAACGACTCTAATCTCAATCAAGTTTTGTTGGAACACTACTCTACCCCCTATCAGTACCGAATTTTTCCCGTGCGCAATGTTTCAATACACCTCGCCACTGTTAAAAGGAAATAAGGGGGAATTGAATAAGGGCCAAAACGTAAAAAAATATTATAGTGGGCTGGCTTTGTAGCCATTTTGAGTGACACAGTGTCAAAAGTGCCCTCAGGACGTGGCAATGGCCTTGCGATTTCTCTGTTGACCAAAATATAAGCTCAACAGATTACTTTCATAGAATAACAATCAGCAAAACAAATTGTTTTGGTTTCGTCAGTACTTTGAAAACGTTCACCTTTCTTATCTAAAGAATTGCCACGTTAGCTCGATAACAACACTATAGAGTCCGATTTCGTATGTAAAAAATTTTGAAATGCACAGCAAGAAGCCCAATATCTAATGAAACGTTTCATACATGGCATTCCAATAAGGGCATCTTTAATTTCTTCTGTATCAAATCTGTTCAGCAAGTCTCGCGATAAGCCCAGGCAAGATTAACTGCAACTATAAACGTCTGGATTACACCACAATCAAGATGGTATCACTTATTCTTGTTTAGAATTATTTATTATGTAAAACATCACGGAAGTTACAACGTTTTTGTTGCTTCATACGCTTTTAATTGAGACAATTCATATATCATCGATAAATGCTGCCAAGAGGAACAAAGAACAGGTTTCAACTTGCAACCTGCGGTGCGTACCTGCAACATTTGTGATTTTTCTTTTTATAACTAACGTGGGAGACCACCCAAGCATTATCATCCCTTGCTAGAAAAAGAGAATGAACTTGACATAAAAGTACACAGCATCTTGCCTAAATCACTCGCTGTTGCACTCTGCCTAAAAGGCTCCAGACTTGACCATCTGTAATACTCAAGACACGAGCCTGTGCTGTCCATGAGACCGATATTATCCGCAACTGGAACCTACAACTACCCTCTTGCAAAATGGCTTGATAAGAAATTAAAGTCTCTGTCAACTAATACGTACACCATCAGTGATATCTTCCAATTCTCCCAAGATATCAGAAACACCTCTATTGGTGTTGATCATATACTGGTATCCTATGATGTGACTGCTCTGTTCACCAATGTTCCTGCTCACGAAACCATCACAATACTTGTGGAGAAAGATTTCAGTGACAACTGGTTCAATGACACTTACGACCTAAACCTCACTAAAGACCAACTTAGAGAACTGCATGAGCTTGCAACTACAAACCAACTTTTTCAACTGGATGTCACGCTTTATGAACAGGTAGAAGGCGTGGCTATGGGTTCACCCCTGGGGTCATTATTGGCCAATACGTTTATGTGCTCTATAGAAGAAAAACTGGAAGAGAAAAACGAGCTCTCCTCTTTCTATAAGCGCTACGTGGATGACACCTTGGCAATCATGCCTGACCTAAACGAAGCTAACATTTTCCTCAACAAATTGAACTCTTGCCACAGAAACTTGAAATTCACTATGGAGATAGCTAAACAGAATACTATCCCTTTTGTTGGCATGAACATCACCAAAAGTGGCAACAGGCTCGAAACATCATTCTACAGAAAGTCCACAAATACTGGCTTACTCTTGTACTGCCACAGCCATGTGGACAAACGTTACAAAGATTGCTTACTCGCCACTATGATCCATCGTGCATATCAGCTGTCATCTACTCCTACCGCGTTTTCTGCTGAATGTAACAAGCTTCGCTCTACTTTCCTCAACCTCGACTACCCAAATGTCTTGATCAATTCAGCGATCAATAAGTTTTTGCGTAATATCGACAACATCGATGCGGCCAAGAATACAAGAGGTGACACACTGAGCTCTATCATCGTGGTCCCGTTACCATTTAAAGATCAACAATCAGCTAACTCTGTGAAGAAGCAAATGAAAATTTTGAGCGCTAACATTGGTATCCAAATTAAACCTGTCTTTCAGACCAAGAAGATTGACCAAATTCTCGCTCTAAAAGAGAAGAAGCCCCCTATTGTCAATAATCAATGCGTGGTTTACAAATTCGAATGTGATCTGTGCGACGCAGATTATGTCGGGTATACCGCCCGACACTAACACCAGCGCATTAACGAACACAAATACTCTGCAATTGGGAGGCATCTTGAGCAACACGGTCTATTGAAGACTGACTTGGTTGATAAACAATTTTCTGTTCTAAAGAAATGTAGATCAAAGTTTGATTGTCTAATTTTTGACATGTTATCCATTAAGGAACTGAACCCCAAGTTAAATACTCAGATTCTATTCGCGCCAAACTCTTTACGTGACTCTGCGTGCGAATATGTGATTCTGCGTGTGAATTCTTTGTTGCCTGTTTACATTTTCAATTTTGTTATCCGTGTCTCTTAGGAATTCTTTTACATTTATATTCGTTCTCATTTCACTCGTTATTGACTTGATAATGACGTTAAGCGAACGTCGAAACGTCGTCGCATTTTTCTTAAACCAAGATGGTTTTTAATTTTTTAAACTTTTCGATTTGATCGCAACTCTTTATAGTTAAATTAGTAGTATTTGGCATGTAAAGCAATCAGGATGGACATGTAAAAAGAGCAAAAATAATATCCTCGCGGAAAAAGATTTGAGATAAAAGTTGGTTTAGAATTTCCTCATCAAATATGTATTTATGCCTGTGCTTCGTCCTAAAATTAATCGGCGGAAAACAATTTTTTTTCCGCGGCGCCATTTAGTTTTTTTGTGTAAAAGGTAAAAAAGAACTGAGACTCAAAGTGGATTAAGGAGAATATTCCAGACCCCTTCGTAGCCGAACTCTAAAGTTTTCTCACGCAATTGTTAATGTTCTTTTCTAGGTCAACCAAGTTACAGCACAAGAATGGACGAAAATTCATCTTCCAACGATACAAATTCGACAATAGGTTTGTTCTAGATATATAATATATGTCATTATTGGTGAACCTTGGCACGACAGTGCGCGAAGTTAGCAAAGCAAAATATTGCAAACAACAATTAAAACAAGATATATTCATTTTTGAATAAATTCGGATCGAAAGTGTTAAAGTAAATGCTGGGGCCTTGTTGGTTCAAGGGCGTTATCATTCTCCCGTTTTATAAATTTCCGACATTTTTTCAAGACTTTGGTGAGGACTTCTCACTGAGTCATTGTGTACCATAGCCTATGTGTGCTTCGTAGCCTCTCATCTCCTCAAATACAAGACTTATTTTTAAATAGCCAAACTTGATTCTCTCTATATATATCTCGAGGCTTTTTGAATAGTTGAAAGTAACTCCTTATACAGAAGTCCACGAGAAAAGCGAATGGTGACTAACTTTCTGGGCAGTCAATTGTCTTACGGTTGGTATATATGTGGGAGGAGCTGAAAATATATGTTTTTAGATTAACGAGTCATTTTTCAGTATCTTTGCATGTCTTGTGGCAATCTGGTAAGCTACAGAATGGCCATTTTATCATCAACCGGAGCGTGCAGATTGCCAGATTTGCCTAAGGGTGTTACCATCTGCTGAGTTTTAATATCAGGCCGGAACATATTTGTAGCGCTGTTCATAGGAACCCACTGTTAAATGTAATTTATTGAAGGCCGTAAAGATCACTGTAGTCCATGCAAATATTCAAGAAGTAAAAGGGAGCGAAATAGCAAACGGCGAATTCACACGGTTTTCAGAGCCCCCACACAATAAAATCTTTTCAAATGCCGGATCTTTTTATTCATGATTATATCAGTTGCATCATTTTAAGCGCATTACGTTAACATGTTAGCAGGCCTTCCATTGGCAATGGGCCAAAGATATCTTAGGTCACTCGCTATCACAGGCACGTTACTTTTATCCAACACACGCAGAACGTGATATGGTTAACAGATGACGATGATGAATAGCTCTTGTCTAGGTCTTGATTCTCGTTCCTTCTTAATTTTGCTGATGAACCTGCGACAACCACATCACTAAGGGAACAAAGATTCTTGGGTCAAGAATTTATTCCGTGGTTATTAATTCATAGTTCTTCGGAGAGGAGTGAACCTAACTTTTCTATCTAGAGCCGCGGCTTTCCTAAAACATTATGCCTTTCAAGTGAGAGTAGCGCTCCTTTCAAAATTCCTAAAAGTGATAGCAAGAAATTGTTAGCAGTTCGAAAATGGCCAGACACGTTCAAAATATCATATACTTTCTTGCTCTTTGCGATGATTCATACCATGTTTGGAAACGTTTCATGGTTACTGTACTATCGTGATCTGAGCGAAATCAAAGAAGAGGTAGTTGCTGCCATTTCGAATAACTTATTTGGCGTTGCATGCCTTTCTAATTCGGGGGAAGCGATTAATCGCGGTTGGCCCCAAACTAATGGAGGAATCATTAAGACTTAAAATTGTATAGGAAGGCAATCTTACGGTCATAAACATGCATACTTGTGCTCATGAACCAGCAACCTTGTCCCAAAGTGCGTTTCTTAAATAGCATTCTAGGCATGAGGTAGTAAATAAGCCAAATCAAATTGGAATCAGTGATGAGTACTTAATGGAGGTTTGCCAAATCACAACTAGGATGTTGCCCGTCAGATTTCTCTGTTTGACTTTTCCTGCGCTGCCACAACAGTTAATAAGGTGGTTTATTTTCTCTCGTGGTTATTCAAGTCCGAAAAGACATGTCTCTCTTTCGTTTTCAGATGGCCAAGACAGACTCCAGGGCGGTTTGATGATCCTGATCACAACGCTTTATGCAATAACTTTCCTCATTGGATTCGTTGGAAACTCCCTTGGACTCTACATTATCTGCAAGAAGTGCGGCATCAAAGCAGCCACTCACTTACTAATCGCCAACCTCGCTTGCTCCAACTTATTCATCGTCTTCATAGTGATTCCTATGTCAGTGTCCTTTTTATACAATGGACACGTTTGGCTCTCGGGGATCACAGGCACAATCACCTGTAAGATCTCTCAATATTTATTTGTATTTCCCATTGCTACATCGATTCTAACCATATTGGTGGTATCAATTGATCGCTTCTTTGCCGTCTGTCACCCCATGAGAGGAGAGCTGATCCGCAAGCCGAAAGTAATGACAGCCACGATTTGGGTTTGCGCGGCCATAGTTACAAGCCCAGTAATGGTAATTTTCAAAGCGATCCCTTTCCAATCCCCAGACGAAGGATGGTTGTGTACTCTTTACTTTGGAGAAGATCCGTATCTCGCAGATACTCTCCTTAAAGTATATTATACTTCGCTCTTTGTCCTACTTTATTTGCTGCCACTTTTGATTATTACCGTTCTGTACACGATCATTGGCTACAAACTGTATCATCGAAGTATTCCTGGAATGTCCCGTGTGCCAACTTACAGAGACAGAGTGGAAAGATCAAAGCGTAAGGTTGCCAAGGTGATGGTCATGATCGTCACTGCTTTTGCAATTTGCTGGTTTCCAGCCCACTTCGTTCACTACTTTATCACTTTCCAAAAAGAAGCCCATTCGAGAATACCGCTTTATGCGATTTCCTTGCTACTATGGATTACACATTCGAACAGCGCTATAGACCCTTTCTTGTACATATTACTAAGCCATAACTTTCGAAGGGAGTTTCGCAAAATGATCAATCAGTGCAATTTTTACGAGAGGAAAGCACGCTTTGAAAGGCGTTTATCCAGGATTTCGGTTACCCTCTCGAGAAGGAATGTCCATGCACATCGGACTGGGTCGACTGCGTGTTCCTTCAGGGGAAATAACTCGCGCAAGGTTGATAAGTATGCTATTCCCGAGGGTCCAAACGGAGAAAAGCAAGGTTCGAATATGCGCAATGGGTCGCTGAACGAACATCACCCAGTCCAGCAAAACTTGCAAGATCACGAGCTGTAATAGTTTATTCATCATGACATAGATTCCCCAAAACTACGCCTGCCCTACCCAGAGATGGCGTTACTGACCAGGGCCAATTCAAGGAAGAAATAAAGTGAATTTGGGACATCAGGGATGTACTACAATACCCTCCGACTGGATGATATAGTTGACACTGGCGGTGTCATCTTCTGTGCATTAATTAATTGACCTTATTGAAGTCTGTTACAAAAAACAGCAACAAAAAATTAATGATAAGATGTTAAATAAATCTGTCCCATTAAGAATGTTAGCTAGAGAAACGACTGATTACCTTAACTTTGGATTTAAGAGTATCATCGTTTTAATTTCTGTTGCCTTGCTATAGCTTATGGCAAACTGTTGCAATAGTAATTCAAGTAGAGAGCTCAGAGATCTATACGAAATTTACATACCTGAAACACCGTAAACCTATAATTCCGTTTGGAGCCGAATTAACTAAGAACGATGTAAACCTAGAGGGAAAAAGAATCAAGTAATCAAGAATATTTAATTTTCCTCAGTAAATTTTTTTTTTAATATGGTAGTGCGTGACCATGCTGAGAGAATTGGCAGCCTGAGAATTTAAATAACTTTATCGAAACTGCTCGTAAAATGCGCCGTAACAAGCCATCTTAAACAATGAGCTTTCTTAACCTCTAAGGTAGAGTTTTATCCTTAATTTAGTAAGTAAATCTTCATTGGGAAGTTAATTGAGTAACGTAGTAGCTGCATACTTGTGGTAACTTGAAAACTACACTTCCCTACTCTCTGTGGTCGCAAAGCAAATCTGAACCATATACAGTGCCTAAAAGTAGAGCGCATTATTTGTTAACGAAAAGTTTCACTTGACAAGGCAAACGTATACGTGATGCATGCCAGGAAAGAGAAAATAAAGCCTGTCGTCCTGGATCTTGTTACAAAGTCTTCCAGCGGAATTGGAGCAGTTTTCACTCGAGTTAAAATACCAAAACCTACGAAATCATTGGTAAAAAGGGGCAAACTGTATGAAAGGCGGGAAACACGTACGAATGTACAAATCAGGATTTGTTTCAGTTTTACAAATCTGATCAGTCGAAAAGGTGATGCGCGTTTTCTGAGCCAATCACAGAGCGAAGTTAAGCTAAGCAGCTTTAATATGGAAAGCTATTGTAACTGAAAGGGAAAATTGTGACTCAAATAGTGGGACCTAAAGGATTTAAAAGAAATAAACCACAACAGTCTCAAGTTATAAAATAGAGCAGTTTTTAATGGGTGTCGAAGCATCAAAACCAAAGCAAGCATATTTAATAACTATTTAGAACTCCAGTTAAAACAGCCTAGGCGAACTGCTTAGAAAAGTCCCCATTGGTCTCAAGGGAGTAAGTTTCTAAACAAACTGTGGTGCTGCGTCGGTGAGAGTAACAAGGTAATTTGGTTTTTATCAACTGAGTTAATAATCGAATGACATTAGATTTTGTTAGACATTTAAGAATAAACACTAGCGAGAAAAACACACAACGTTTCGATGACTCCATGTCATCATTCTCAAGTGAGAAGAGAATAAAAATGAATAGTTAATTTATACCGTACGAAGGTGGCAAACGTAAAAAGTTAATAATGTAAATTGATCACCTTAAAGAGTTTCAAAGCTGACGTTTCGAGCGTTAGCCCTTCGTCAGAGCCCTTCGCTCATTGGTCTCAGGTTTTTATCTGATAGGTTGAAGGGGTGGCTCAATTTTTTTTCACCGATCACAAAACGAAGGAAAGTTGAACGAAAAAAATCCCAGATTATGTTCGATACTAGACTGCTCCACTGGCCAATTTACAATTTCAACTTAGTCGGATATAACCAAGCTTCAAACTACGAAGGCTAAAGACTGCGAAAACCTTTAACTGTTCGGAAATTTCGAAATGTTTTGTCGTAAAGAAATCACTATCGCATCATCCAAACGATTTCGCATTGTCCATCCTTCGCGTGGTTGTTACATAGCGGTATACGGCTCCGTGTAGCACATAGCGACCCCTGATAGTAACCGTTTTAGGCGAAGTCTGATATCCTGATAAAAACGTGTTATTGGCCATTATGACACAAATATGGTCTTAATCGATCTAGTTTAAAAAGTCTAATTGTTTGGTTGATATAAACAGAAATTAAACATGTGATCAAGTGTGTGTTTTCTTTTTTTAAAACAAAAATCCACACAAAAAAAAACGCACTAGTTCATACAAGTAAAATCTTACTAGTATAACTGTGCACAGCGATCAAGGTCATTACATAAACTTCCAACCCTCAAAAGTGATAAGCATCATATTCTCCAAAAGTATTAACCCTGAAAGAAACTACTGTCATGAGAATAAAGGAAATGATCGCCAACTCAAGAAGCTCTTGATTGTTCACCAGGCCCCTAGTAATACCATAAAAAATGGAAAGAGAACAAAAAATCTGCGCTTAATGTTCAAAGTAAGATTTTTTCACGTGTCGGCGTTAAAAAAAAAAATGGGATACCAACTAGTCTTAAAAACTTATCCAAGAACTCTTTTAAAAAATCCATTAGAACAAAATTAATCGAAATTCTAGAAACTGAAAACTCCTATGTTGAAATAGATACTCTAATTAATAAGATGAAAGTTAACTTCTAACTGTAATTATGTTTAGTGTGTAGTCGACTCCTAAGGCGAAATAGATACTTTAATTAATACTTGATGAAAGGTTAATTTCTAAATGTAATTATGTTTAGTCTCTAGTCTCTTTAAGTCTGTAGTTTTCCTCTTTCCTCTGTCATGTTGTAATTGTATGTGAATATCATTATGTAAAATTGAGTAAAATTACTTTTCAATTGTCTGGCTTGCCGCGACTAGCTCTTCGCTATTTGCAAGCCAGCCTAGCGAATAACCACCTGATATTTACTTGGAAATAAAATTGATTCTGTATAATAAGCTGAATAACGCACGCATTTTGATTGGTTCTGACCAATCTATTGGAGGACAGACGCATAGAAAACCTCAACGTTAATAACTCAGCTCCTTCTTTATGATAAAAAAAATTGATTCCATTCAGCTATAAATCACAGAGGACGTAAAAAATATGGCAAGTACATCAGTGTCACCTCGATGCGTCTCGTGAACCACTTTTTCTGTGTTGCCACGTTGTGACGTCATCTATGATCTATTATTGTACATTCTCAATATGGAATCTATTTGTTTAGTTAGGGTAACTTGTAAATTTTGTTTGGTGATAGTACGCATTTCCTTAACCCATTTATTTATCATTTGTTAGCAGTGATTCATCTGTAAATATAGAATTATTTACTCAATGATAACAATAAACTTTCCAAAATCACTGAAGAAAAAGAAAAAAAAAAGAACTGTTTTTCTAATTAAAGAAAAAAAAAAAAAAAGAAAAAAAAAAGAACTGTTTTTCTAATTAAAGAAAAAAAAAAAAAAAGAAAAAAAAAAGAACTTCCTTACTAAGGTTAGGGTGTAAAGGGCTACAGGAAAAGGGAAAGAAGGAAATTCAAACGGATAAATTCATCTGTAACTGCGCTGAATCGTTCCCCGCGACCAAGTACATGTGTTGGGGGTCCCCTATACTTTTTACATGAAGCGTGATTGGGCGATTTTTTTTTTCTTGTGAATCCTAATTTGAATTTTTTATCTATTCGGGAATCGTGATTAAAGGTGGTAAGATCTTTTCATGTCCATGTGAACGAATTTTCTTATTTAAATGTGACCAGTGAATAAGAGCTGAATTAAACGTGATTCGTAAACCATTTTCAACGGTTTTGCGAGAAGAATTTCCGGCTATCTTATTCTTTTGAAAGGTATGTATTGTTCTCAAGCGATTGTGGTTAGGTGTTGACAGGAGACAGACTTCATGTGGATCGATAAAAGTCGCAAAACAGACCACTACTAGTTCTTGAACAACTAAGAAAAGACATTACCTCATCTTTTCTCAGGTAGGGCTGGTCAAGACTAGAAAGGTAAAATAGTAATTCGACGTGATTGTCTTAAATTTCGCGTGATCGTGAAATAGCTTTGGATGTTATTCGTGATGTGGGAAAAAGCCAAATATTTTTACGTGACTGAGTTTTACAAAGGGGTATAGAGGACCCTCCGTGTCTCTGATAACGATCTCTTACCGGGAAGGACCGGGAACACTTTTCCGCGATGACACACTTCATTAGTGCTACACGACAAAGTTTTTTGTTATCCCGCTGTTCACCCAAATGGGGAATGAAGACTCGTTGACCACGAGGATCGTTCGTAAACAGCGTGTAAGAATCCTTGTAAGAACGGTCCGAAGTAAGGCTGGATTATTACGTTGAAAAGACTTAAGACTCATAAAATGGTGCGATTAAGAAAAGGAAAACACAAAACGTGGCGAAAAGGCCAAAGCTGCGAGTCAAATCCGGCAACGAGTAAGTACAGAGCGGCATCGAGGAGAGGAAACATCACAGGTCGTTCAACTCAGAATTCTAATCTGACTGTTGAAGCTCTTGCGAAACATGAAGAAAAACACGATGAAGAAGGAGATGTGGAACTTAAAGACAACGAAGGATTCAGTGTGAAGAGTGGAGAAACGTTTGGCGCTTTTAGCATTAGTGGCTTAACAGACTGTTCGAATCCAGTGTTTGCAATTGTGAAAAGATTTTGGGATTCTCCCTCATCACAACACAAAGAGGTGGGTTGAAAGCGTTTTAGATTTGAGCTGCCAACGAAATCTGACACAGGAATCGGTAAATATACTCTGAAAGAAGCTGTGATGTATTCTTGTTTCATCTATCAAGAAGTGACAGCAGCGTGATTGTCGAGAAGGACTGTTGTCAATGACAAGGACTGAAATTTCCAATTCCAAAACCTGAATCCTCAAGTTGTGGAAACATTAATCTCTGTCACTGACAACTCTCCTTTGCAGTACTTCCCTCTCCAGGACAATCACATGCAAATTTTCACTGTTACTTCTGCTTTCCAACCATTTACAAGATGAGGGGTTTGTCGTGTTCATACATACTACAGTTGAACCTGTATCTTTTTTTTATTATTATTTATTACAATTTAATGGCAAAAAGATGTACATAAAATTAATAATGAGAGCCATTATCAGGAGCTAACCCTGTATTAAGCGGTTAGTTTTCAAAGTCCTAAAGGTCCTGCCCCATAATTAGTGTTATTTTCACCTCTATTAACCCTTTAAATCTTAAGAGTGACTAGCATTTTACTTCTCCTCACAATATCACCCCTGAATCACACATTTAGGTCAAGAGAATAAAGGAAATGATCACCAACTAAAGAAGCTCTTGATTTTTAAACGAATTCTCCATATCAGCACCATAGGAAATGTATAGAGAACAGTATGGAGAATACACATACTGATATTAGGGTGTAAAGGGTTAAGCAATCACCCCTGTTAAGGGATCATGGTCACTCTTTACTGAGACCCAATGGCCTGTTTGTATCATCCTCTGCCTGTGGAGGATGATGAAACTAAGAATACTCTTTCGAGTAAAATTTAATCCAAATTGAACTCCCAAAATCAATGTTCTTAGGTTTTTTTGAGCATTTTTTTTTTCTTGAACAGTGAGTGGTCTCGTTTTTTTACTGTTTCTTTGTAATGCCCCTATTTTGTGGGACCTGTAGCTAAAGCAGTCAATCCCTGAGCATAACCTGACTTAATACAGGTTTCAACTATAAATAAAGGATTTTAACCCTTCACTTCCGTGAGCTCGGTCCTGATTCTCCACACGTTTGTTACCTGTATCCATTACTTATAATTTGTGATATGAGAAGGTCAATCTAACAATACCCTCCCTGTAGATTATTTCTTTGCTGGATTAAAAGTAACAACCATAATATTCCTCTTTTTATCAAAGATAGCTTCACTTGATATCACTTATTATGTCATCAGTACTTTACTTTGAAGTGCACTAAGATGAAATGAATCCAGTTTTGACAAGCTAGCAGCAATGTTACTGTATT